ATCATTTTCTTTTAAGTGTTGCTCTCATATTTTAAAAAATGATTAGACATCTATTGGGCTTTGAAACAGGAGTGGAGGCATTAGCCTTTCATCTTTGGGGACTTCAGTTTCAACCTGGCTTAGTTTAAGCTGAAACAAGTTTAATCTTGTCACAGGCACTTCCCCAAGCAATAATTACAATGAACTCAAATCACTCCAAAATATTTTAGCATCACATTCTACTCCATGAAGAACAGGAACAAAACACTTCATTGTGTAACCAAGAAGGATTAGTATTTTTATTGGGAATCATTACATTGTAGCATTAATCAGAAGAAAAATGATTAATGGCTGTAGCTTCTGTTATAAGCTGTTTTGGAAAATGAAACCACAGTGTTAAATGGGATGCTTCATACAGCACTGTAAGGAGAACCTGTCGGTATGTTGGATGTTAGAGGCCATTCTCCATACCTAGGGAGGACAATTCCCTAACGCTCAGGCCTCAGCCCACGGGAGGTCCTTCCTTTATTGTTATTCAACTCCCACTCTAGTATGTAAGTCACCGACCTTCTTGCCCCTTGAGTTCTGTTGAAGACAAATTTATTAAATCCAGCCTCAGAACTTTACAGTTCAGTAGGATTAATAGACTTGGGCTGATGAATGAAGCCAGAAGTGGGAAGACAGAGCATTGAGAGTTCCACTGACCTCAGGAGAGCCTTCGAATCTTACTGAGTTCACACTGGAGCTTAGTATTTTCAAGGTGTAGACCTAAAGGGTACTGAGGAAGACAAAGTGTTCATCATAACCACCATAACTCATTTCATCTTTTTCTCAAAGGGCACAGAGCATCCTGGGTGGCCTGGGTAGTTGTGCTGCTTCTTAGCTATAGTCACTTAAACTTTTCTGTCTTTGTCTTTTGCTCAGGTCTCCTGCAGTGTTCTAGCAAGGTCCTTAGCATTGCCTCAGAACTTATGGGGGTCCAATTTGCTGTACCCTTCCATTTCCTCCGTATCACTGTGGCAATGTTTCCTTAGGGTGTGTGTAGCCAACAGATATCCAGCTTCTTGGGGACTTCTTGGATGCTTTTTGAATGGAACCCTGAGTAGTATTCTTGAGTGAGTCAGGCACAAACTGAATTTGAGGATGTGGGAGAATTTGCTAGTACTCTCAATGCACTATCAGTTTAAAAATTCAAATTCTAAAATTTATTCATCAACTCAATTTTATGTGACTAGAAGTGAGAATACTTTATATATTAAAACATGCTCCAAATGTAATGTTGAGGGTTCTTAAAATGCCCTAACAGAGATCCCATGTGCATTGTCTCAAAGAGAAGCCCTTCTCTGCCTTGTCAGATAGCCTCCATGTACATTTACCTGTGCAGTTATAAGATGACAGAAGCTGAAGAGAGGTTAAAGGCTTCTAAGTGGTGGTTGCCCACGCTTTTGAATGATTGCATATCCTTTATATATAGAGATTATCAAGCCTCAAGATCTGTAAAACTAAGAACTTATTAATCCACAATGATAAATACAAGGGTGTTTCAAAATGTTCATAAAAAATGAAATTAAAAGATAAGTTTATTTTGGTGCAAATGTATTTTTGTAATCAATGCATCAGTTTTTTTATAGTACAGATTTTCCATGACCTTTTTGAAGACTCCTTATATATATGGAATTCATAATTATTTTTTTACCAAAACAAATATATCATAATTGATTTTCCATAAAATTTTTGAAGTACCCATGTAGAGCTGTCACATGGAACAGGATAATGGAGATTTATGGTCAACTGATTCCACCCCAGCCCCCACCAAGTTATATCATTCCTCACTCTGTTCATTGATCACATAAAACCACCGCTATGCAGACTGGAAATGTTCACCATCAAAGGGTCAGTTCCCTCTCTTTCTTTGTAACCGACTGACTTGGGAATTTGAAGGTCATCTGGGGAGCAGAGACTCAGAACAAGGGGAGCTGGATGAAAATCATTAACAGCAGTAAGCCAAGGTAGTCTGATGACTCTAATCTATTGCACTGGTTATTGTTAATGGGACCAGATACAACCGAGTCTGTTGGTTGCATGCTGCATCCACTTCTACCCTACAAGCAACTTTATCAAGGGGGTTAGAAACATACCAATTCCAATGTCCAGACTTATCTCTCTTGGACTGTGCTTTACTGGGCACTGGCAATAACTGTCCTGTCTAATCAGTCCCTTCTTTGATTGTCACTCTTGTTCTAAGAATGGATTAATGTATTCCATCTGGTTATAGTCAAGCCTTTCCACTTGAGAGCCAAGCAGGTGACTTTATCAAACCATACACTGTCTCACGAAGGGATATTCTCCCGTTTACCTTTAAAGAAGGCCTGCTATTTCTCTTTTGGGCACATCTTGCTTAGCCCACAAGTATTAACAGAAAACACTTGGTAATAAAAATAATTCATATTTAGATAAATAAACATTGTAAAGTTGTCTACTGTGTTTGATGCAATATATTAAGCATGGTTTTTACCATAATTGTTTTATACTGAGTACTTTTAACAGCAACACTTCTAAATAGAGCATACTTATATTAACTCCTTTGATTAATTAAACCAAAATAATTCCTGGTAGGTTTCCTAAATTTTGATTTTTTTATTAGAAAATAGTTTTTTAGGCATTACTTTAAACAGAAAAATAAATTTAAAATCTGAAATAGTTTTCTCACATGACTTGGAAAAGGCAATTGATTGAGGTTATTTATGATCCACTCACTGATGAGCAATTCCATTAAAGTTTATGGTGGTCAATTATGATAGTAAAAAATATCAAAATACTCTTCCAGGTGTATTTTTGTAGTATTTTAATTTTGATTTTCAGCTTTTTTTAGGAGCTCGTCAGATTGTGCTTATCAGAAAACTATTGGGGCCCGTGCTGTGGCATAGCAGGTAAAACTGCCCCTTGCAGTGCTGGCATCCCATATGGGTGCTGGTTCAAGACCTACTGCCCCACTTCTGATCCAGCTCTCTGCTATGGCCTGGGAAAGCAGTGGGAGATGGCCCAAGTGGTTGGGCCCCTGCAACATGTGGGAGACCCAGAGGAAGCTCCTGGTTCCTGCCTCCTGGCTTCACATTGGCCCAGCTCCAGACGTTGCAGCCATTTGGGCAGTGAACCAGTGGATGGAAGATCTCCCTCTCTCTTACTCTGCCTCTCTGTAACTTTACCTTTCAAATAAATAAATACTTTTTTTTTTTAAATGAAAACTATCAAAGGATATTTGAGAGCAAATTTTTATTTCTATATTCTATTAAATATCAAATTGCTGACTTGTTTATTAGAGTCCTTTAAATATACTGAAAGTATTTGCAATAGGCTTATGTGATAAAAACAGTTTTTAAAACAGTATGTGATAATTTGACTCCAATGTTGTAATGGCTTTGCATATAAGGATGTATGTATGTGTGTGTGTATATTTACATGACAAAGGAAGAAAGGCTATTAAAGAAAACATGAATCAGTAATTTCATCTATTTTAGTGTGATACAAAGTATGGGTGAACATTTTTAGTTTTTTATCCTTGATTTTTGTATCCAAGAATTTACTTAAAAATGCAAACAGTGTGTTCTGTTTATTCCAAAATGACAACAAGCTAACAAAAAATACTCAGAGAGGGATGAAGGGCTTAGTAATTAAGATGTCCAGAACCCATACCTGTCTCTAATGTTGACTTCAGCTTCCTGCTAATGCAGAACCTGGGAAGGTAGTGGCAGTATGTCAGGTAACTGGGTCCTTACCACCCACATAGGAGATCTGAATTGAGTCTGGGCTGCCAGCTTTGGCCTCTGTGAGGGGCCATTACTGGCATTTGGGGGAGTGAACCTGTGGGTGAGTTCTTTCTCTTTTTTATTATTTTTTTTCTGTCTCCCTCTGTGTTTATATGCCTCTCAAACATTTTCTCTTTATTCTAAAATAACAGTGGAATCAGCAACTACTTCACCATAATGCTGGTCACCTCTTTTTCTTTATGTTTAGGGCACTTGATGTTTTTTAGTTTCCTAAATCAGTTATCTTTATGATTGATTAGCTTGAAACCCTTGAGTCAACAGCCATTTTTGTACCTTAATCTTTGAGCTACCCACAGATATATTTCTTTGTTAATACAAAAATTAAGGATTTTTTTCCCATTTTTTCCACTTCACTTATCCAATGACATCATTAACTAAAATCTTCATTTTTTGAAGGAAAATGTTTGAACCCCTACTAACCAGAATAACTCATCTGCTGCAGCAATTGTTGCAGAGGCAACCCCCTTTGTGGATGATTGTTAGCTTGCTAGATAAAGTTGTCATTACGTTTAACTTGGTCTTTAATTATAAGCAGATGGATGAATTATTTTAATCACTGCTATATATCTTAACAGTAGTTCATACATTGACACAAAGTGAAGAACATCAAACAGAAATTAAATGCTAGGGAAGGAAAGCAGCCAGCCTTCAAGGGAAGCAATTGATCACAACCTGTCATCTTTAAAGACCAGAAGAATGCAAAATAAACACTTGGGATTAGTGTACTAAATATGGTTCCTCAGGCTTCAGCTCTGCCCTCTGATAATTCCTCTATCTCATTTATTTTAATGCTTTATCATGTATCTCTCCAGCTCTGTAATTAGCCTTTCAGGTATTCTCCTTTTCTTCCTGCCTTTGAAATTATGTATGGTGTGATTCTGCCGGGAGAAGATATTATTAACATCCAGTACAAGAGAAGCAACTTTGGAAAAGATTCCATTTTATAGTTCACATACTGAAATTCTTGCTGAAACTCACAGATATGTTAGGGTTGATTTGGAGCTAAAATGTTAGACGATTTATCATATTTTTTTTTTAAAAGAGAAAGAGTCTAGCTTGGTTTGCAGGTAAAGCAGTTTTATAAGAGGGATCTGGATTTAGAGTCATTGACTTCAAACTATTTGATTTTTTTAAAGTCTAAGATTAATTTCTGAATTAAAGTAATTAAATATTATCATCTTACTGCTTTGTTTCTGAGTTCACTTTTCCTTGACTAAAAAGAACATCACCAATGCCTGTGTTTTCTTCCATAGCAGTGAATGTGCTGATTATTACACAGTAAATCATGCTTGGAATTTATACTCTGCCGGGAATTTTGCTCTAGAGGAAGGGTATGTTCCTGATGCTTTATTACAGTGTGTGGATCTATTTATTTCTCAGTCTCATTTTTTTAAAAAAATTATTTATTTGAGAGGTGGAGTAGAGTGACAAAGAGAGAGGTAGACAGACAACTAGATACACACACACATCCCAGAGAGAGAGAAAGAGAGCGAGCGCGAGAGAGATCTTCTATTCACTGGTTCACTCCCCCCGACAGTGGCTGCAATAGCCAGGCACCAGGAACTCCATCTTGGTTTCCCACCTGGGTGGCAGGGGCCCAAATACCTGGGCCATTCTCTGCTGCCTTTTCAGGTGCATCAGCAGGAAGCTGGATTGAAAGTGGAGCATTGGGGATGGTGCTGTGACGTAGTGGGTAAAGCCACTGCTCGCAGTGCCGACATCCCATATGGGTGCCTGTTCAAGTCCCAGCTATTCCACTTCTGATCCAGCTCTTGCTGCTGCCTGGGAAAGCGGTAGAAGATGGCCCAAATCCTTGGGCTCCTACCCGCATGGGAGACCTGGAAGAAGCTCCTGGCTCCTGGCTTCGGATCAGCCAGCTCCAGCCGTGGCAGCCAATTGGGGAGTGAACCAGCGGATGGAAGACCTCTCTTTCTCTCTCTGCCTCTCCTTCTCTCTCTTTGTAACTCTGACTTTCAAATGAATAAATAAATAAATCTTTAAAAAAAAAGAAAATAGAGCAGCAGGAACTTGAACTGAAACTCCTTTGTAGGATGCAGGCATCACAGGCAGAGACTTAACCCACTGTGCCACAATGATGAACCTTGGTGAGTCACTTTAGATTATTTATTATTAAACACTGAAAGCATAAAATAATGCCTACAATTGAATAGATATACTGTTCTCACTTTGACCTCTTTGATCTTGTAAATACTGGATTGTTTCTAGTGTTCTGAATGTGGATGTAATATTAAATTATTGATTTATCATATATTACTTCATAGACCAGAAAGAGTGGGATTTTCTGTGTTTAACTTTGCCCTAAACCACATTTTGTCATTGACTTTGTAGCTTATCTAGGGCAAAGTTTTAATCTTTTCTGACTTCCTTTTGTAATGTCTCTAGGCTTCTTCCTTCTGCCGGGTATTGGAAAGTACCCATGGACTCAAACTTGCCTTGGAATTATCTGAAGACCAACATCATTTGGAGTTTCCCATTCATAGAGAATCCATGTTCCAAAGTTTGAATGGATTTTTGTTGTAAATGTTATTTGATGTTTTAGTTTATTTATGCAATGGCCTCTTCTTAATGCTCTTAATACTGAGGATTGACTGCCTTAGGAAAAAATATTCTAACTATGATGCTATCAACAACAGTTTGTGGGTTTCAGATCAAGAGATTGGAGGATTTTTCACACAAACATTGAGAAATATTTGTACAATCCTAAAGCAAATAATTCCAGGTTCAGAATACCTATCTGCCACATTCTCTGATTTGTATAGAAATAAAAAATATCATGGGAAATTGAGGCTGTGTTACTGATATTGTTGTGACTCTCAGAAAATCTGTTATCCTTTTACAACCTATACTTCCTCAGTTGTGGAATGGAAATGAAATAAAATAAAGGGCATGGGACTTAGCAGGACTCCATTAAATTCCCTCCTTCTCTCTCTCCCTCTTTTCCTTTGTTCTTTCCTTGGTAGCTTCTCTATGTGCACTCTGAGGACGAGAAAAGCAGCCCCTGAGAACCAAGAGCTGGCTTTTTATTCATAACTAGTCTTCAGGATTTCCCTATAGAACATGAATAATTTTATAGAATACTATCAGACAAGAACATTCTGTGATGCTGATGGAGCAAGCCGAATCAAGAACACTCCATAATCAGAGCAAAAAACAGACGAAAATCTTGTTCCAACCAAGACCAAGCATTGCCCTTTTTGGTGAATCCAAGTGACTGCTACTTCTTTGCCCACGATAGATTTAGCTTCACTTCATTCTCCCTTTTCCTAAGGTAAGAGAACATAGTCTTTTGAAGTTTGTTTTTATATTTGCAAAATGAGCTTTGTGGGGAGCAGCCCGGACTGGACTGAGTTACTGGAATTAAGACTTGTTCTGTGCATCTGCTCTCCCACAATATGGCGCTGGGAGAGAAGTAAACAGCTTCCGCACAGCTGCCTCCAGTTCAGCCAATAAACAGCAGGACCTGCTCCTGATTGGAGGAGAGCAGCGTACTCGGCGTGTGGGCAGCCGAGTTAGGATTGGCGGAGGAGGACTATAAAGGAGGAGAGAGACGGCATGCACGAGGAACATCTAAGGGGAACATCTAGCTGAAGGAACACCTGTGCAGCCCCCGAGAGAGCTGGCCGGCGGTGTGCCGCTCCCCTGCGGAAGTGGGGAATGTGGCCAGGGGGAACTGCCCTTCCACGGAGGTGGAAGGGATAGTAGCCAACCCGGGAAGAACCAGCAGCAAACCTGGGGAGGGCCGAGCAGACGAAAGAACAGTGCAGGGTCCTGTGTCGTTCCTCCACGAAGACGGGGAGTGACAAGCTTTCCTTATAACAGTGCTTATTGTGAATTGAATGTTTGTGTCCTCTCTCCTTCCTCCAAATCCATATGTTAAAGCTCTGACTCCTGCTGTGGTTATATGTGGACATGGAAGCACTATGGAGGCACAATTACATAAAATGCTCACCACACAGATATAGTAATTAGAAATAATCTCGCAACACTGGGCAGTAGTAAATTGTAGTGAAAATCATTAGAGTTTAATCTAGAATTATTGTAGATGAAGTTTGAGTATTTTTGACTTTTATTTTATTTTTACAGTTTTATTTATTTAGTCATTTGAAAGGTAGAGTGACACCCAGAGAGAAATCTTCCATCTGCTGGTTCAGTCTCCAAATGCCTGCAATGGCCAGGGCTGGGCAAGCTGGGAGCCAGGAGACAGTAACTCCATCCAGTTCTCTCACATAGGTGGCAGGAACTCAGCTACTTAGGGTATCATCTGCTGTCTCCCAGGCTCATCATTAGCAGGGAGCTGATTGGAAGTAGAGGCAGGACTCCATCCAAAGCAGTCTATTGTGGGATGCTTACCAGTATCTGAAGCAGTCTCAAGGAGAGACTTAACCATGCCCTGACTCCTGTTTTTAACACAATTGTTAACATTGTGAGTTTCTGTAATTTAACTTTTGATAGTAGTTATGTTTAATAACAGACTCACAGGGGCCGACATTGTGGCACAGCCAGTTAAACTGCCCCCTGTGATGCTGGCGTCCCATATTGGAGTGCCAGTTTGAATGTGGGATGCTCCACTTCCCATCCAGCTCCCTGCTGGTATGCCTGGGAAAGCAGTGGAAGATGGCCCAAGTACTTGGGCTGCTGCTACCCATGTGAGAGATGCAGATGGAGTTCCATGCTGCTGATTTTGGCTTGTCCTAGCCCCAACCATTGCAGCCATTTTGGGGAGTGAAATCAGTAGATGGAAGATCTTTCTCTGTCTCTCCTCCTTTCTCTGTCACTCTACTTTTCAAATAAATAAAATAAATCTTAAAAAGACAAAAACAGGCTTACAAAATTCTTGAAAATTTACTTTTTTTTGGTTAACTACTGTGAGCTGGCTTTTGCACACCACTATCAGATGATTTTTTTTCTGTAACAATATTATTTGGATCCTTTGCTGGTTAAATCACCATTTGGGTAGTCACAAACTCTGTATCTGCAATGAATTTTGTTCACATATAGCAAATTGTGTTTGGAGGCACCTCCATGAAACAATTTGAGTTTATAACACTTGGTTGAAGTTATCACCCCTAAAGGTGCTGGATTAGTTGACTGTTAATAACCTCTCACTCAAGCTCTGAATAACAGGAATAACAGTAAATTAGATAAAGTGTCGTAAAATTGTATGTGACTAAAGATAATGTTAATGCACTGTTTATTTCTTTATTAAAAAATCCTAGGAGATGAGATTTTGGGTTCTTTCACTATAAAAAAATGCTAAATGCTAATGTGATAAATAAACTTACTCTGATTGGTTATTGATTTTTACATATGTATACATGTAATGAAACATCACATAATATCACATAAATATGCACAAATAAAAAATGAAAACAATTGATTTTCACATTTGTAAGGGCACAAATGTTTTTTACTAAATGGGCCAGGAGCTCATTTTTTTATTGTCATATCCTGATCTCAGGGCTTATTATTATCATCTATTATTGCTTCTGAAACTTCTCTTAGTTTCTAGAAGAACATACAATTCCCAAGTTATGAATATGGCTTTGGAATTAAAATTCATTCCTATGTGACCTGAGCATCCTATGTATCCTCTCTGATATTCAAACTCATTATTATAGGAGTGTAATGGAACTCAGTAAGATTATATTTTCATACCTAGCTATGTGATATTATCCATTCAAAATATTCAGCCAGTTCATGGACACTGTCCCTGGTTGACATGAGCTGTGTTGTTCAGATGCTCCTTTGGATCTCTTTGCATTTTCAGTTATGTCTTAAAAATCCTCATTTTGTTCTAGAAGTGATCAGAATGAGAGAAGCTAGTCAAAGAAGGGAGGAGGCCGATGATGTTTTCGAGCAGAGTAACTCCAGTATGACCCAAGAAATTTCTAGTCCCTGATCAGGGCATGCAGTGGGTGAGGAAGCTTCTCTCCTTCTGAAAGCATGAAGATGGAGAATTGCTGCCTCCTGACAATTAGTGTGTGGTTATTACTTTCCATGAGTCCTGCTCTTTGGGTTTCTCTCAAATACCATTAAAACCAGACACTCATCAAGCTAAGGACTAGAGGTTTTTTTTTTTTTTTGTATTAGAATTTGCTCTTAACCCAATTGGGATGGGAGAGGAGATAGTTTCTGTGGACTGTGTCAGTCTCTGGGTGATGTGTCCTTCACCCAAGCCCCCTTTGTTTTCCAGTGCCGTTCAGTTTCCTAATGGCACCACATGCACTAATTACCCCAATTGCCCTCCCATTCACTCCTCTGAATCAGAATCAAACATGGATTTGAATCTTGCCTCTCCCTCTTACACATCACTCAACTTCTCCAAGCTTTAGTTTTTCAGTCTGTAAAATAGTGATAATGATTTATTTCTTACAGTTGTCATAAAGATTAAATGATATAAGGTAACTGCATATTAATACCTAACATTTCAATAAGACTTGATTTATTCACAGATTAATCACACATCTGAAAGAATCATCTTGACACTTGGAGTTTTTATTTTAACTTTTTATTTTATCTATCAGCTCAATTTTAAGTTTCCTTATACTGTTCTTTCTTGGCAAATATAGCTTCCAAGTTATATAACAGAGCCTACTGTGGCCTGGATTATTAAATTTTATTATCTAGCGCCTCAAGCAGTGTTGAAAATACAGAAGAAATATTGGGAGCTTGGTGACCCAAAGGGACTGCAGAAACTCACTTTCTGCCTGTACCAGAGGGAAGGACAAGCCCATGAGGTAAGAGAGACACTCACAGGCTACCCTATCAGCTACTTGAACTCTGTGCTTCTTATCTCTCTCCTTGGAGGGAAGCTCAGAGGAAGCCTTTGCCCTCTAACATCTAGGTTCAAACTAATCTTTATTATATCATATCAGTGCCACATCAAAGCACTGCCTACACTTGACTCCCCAGGCCCACTAACAATTAAGTTCTTTGCACTGAATTTATTCCCTACCTCTCTCCACATCGATGAGTCAAGTGATATTGTCGATACAAATTGGGCTTGCTAACTAACTAGAAATCTTCCAGAGATGTATCAGCAAAGATGATTTGGGAAGTAATGTGTTTTGGAGTATTGGCGTAAGGAAACTTGTTATATTTTCATTTTTTTCCACTTATTTGACAGGTAGAGTTAGACAGTGAGAGAGAGAGAGACAGAGAAAGGTCTTCCTTACGTTGGTTGACCCCCCAAATGGCCGCTACGGCTGGCGCTGTGCTGATCCGAAGCCAGAAACCAGGTGCTTCCTCCCAGTCTCCCACATGGGTGCAGGTGCCCAATCACCTGGGCCATCCTCCACTGCCTTCCCAGGCCACAGCAGAGAACTGGACTGGAAGAGGAGCAGCCGGGACTAGAACCTGGCACCCATATGGGATGCCGGCGCCACAGGTGGAGGATTAGCCAAGTGAGCCATGGTGCCGGCCCCTATATTTTCTTGTAGCAGCTTGGTTTCTACTCCTCTGTGTACCTTTTATTTTTCTTACATCTAAAGCATCTCTGTAATTTTAAAGCATGGATTGATCTCTTAAACTGTGAATGGCTGGGTGAGAATGGGAATAAGGATAGAGAAGGCATAATCCCTGTGGTCACAGAGTCCTTAGGCAGGCAGGATAGTAAACAGGCTAGTATAACACTGATATATATCTTTGCATAAGGATTATGGATAATATAGGATGGGAGGATCAGGCATGGCTTCTGTAAGAGGCCAACTTAGGAGCTAAACTTTGGAAGATGATGCATTGATTAGTTCTCATTTCTCTACCACTTCCAGGTCCATTTTCCTCCCATCTTTGCCAAACTCAGCATCCCAGGAAGCTGACTCCTGTTGTGGTGGATACTGAGATGCATCACTCACAAAAGAATGACTTGGTCTTCCAACTACTGGAATGCAAATTTAAAGGGTCAACCATCTTTAAGGATAGAAACTGTCTCATATTAGGCCATACCTCCTTCTAATGGCATCTGATATCCAATGGCCGGTCACTGTGAGATTATGAATGCCAGAATTTCTTGCTACAACTTGAGAGATTTTAAGGATCAATGCAGGCCTAGATTTTTTTCTCAAAGAAATCTTTTATTTAGTGAGTACAAATTTCATAAGTACAACTTGAGGAATATAGTGATTCTTCCTTTCATATCTACCATCCCACCTCCAATCTCACCCCCCCTCCCATTTCCAGTCCCATTCTCCATTAAGATTCATTTTTAATTAACTTTATACCAGAAGATCAACTCTATACTAAGTAAAGATTTAAACAATTTGCACACACACACACACACAAACTGAGAGCAAGTTTTACAGTTAATTCTCATAATA